TAAGGTGATACAGACTGAATAGCCCTTAAAAGCCACCCAAATACACCATAGTCCTGCAGCACCTAATACAAACTACCTATGAAAACAAGGCCCAAGGCCTTCTCCAGATCTACAATACACATGTAGACTGGAAAACCTACTCCCTTGATCCACTCTGCAATTCCACGAAGTTAAAGATTTGGTCCACTGGTCTAAGGTTCCACAGCTAGGATGAAAGCTACATTACTTCACATGGATTGGAGATACAATAATCAGAACTATGACAAAGATTAGATTACAGGAAATGAGTAAGAAACTACCCTGCTTCAGACTGCCAACCTGTCCTGGATATATTGCGCCTCTCGCCCACAGATTATCAGAGATAGGCACCGGCCCCCACCATGGAAGGAGTTTTACCTGCACCCGGAGGGTTGTCTGTTCAAGCCCTGGCTGTCGTTGAGTCTTGGGCAAGGTACTTCACCACATAGCTACTGATGCTGGTCGGAATGCCCGGTGGCTGAAAGTAGTGTAAAGTGCTTAAGTCAAGTCCCCTGACTCGAAAAAGCGCTATGCAGGCCATTTACCATTTTTACCAAAAAAGCTACTGGCAAGAGAAATATACAATATAGAGCACAAGAATATTAGCAAAGAGAACCAAAACACCTGTCAATTGCGATAACTAAGATGAAAACGGCAACAAATACATAGGTCAAACTTTGGTGTAAGCAACATGAAAGCAGGGATATATCCATCCATGTAATGGTTAGTGAGGGGTGTAATAGTGTAGTGGGTGTACTAGTGGCACTGTTTGAGTCTCTTATTGTCAGCTGAGTTTAATAGGAAGGATGAAATTACTTCAGTCTTTTTGCTGATTCTTTGATTTGGAGGGATTGTTGAATAAAATCATTGATGTGAGGCTTTAAATAGCTGCACAACAGGTACTATTCTGATGAAGATGTCCCTCAAGTCTCTTTCTAAATAAAATGCTGGCTTGCTCACAATAAGCATCTCACTCCGGTGAGATGAATGCTGTGTGTAGCTCTAAGTTAACCAAGTTCAGATTGAAACACTCCCTGAAGCGCTGTCATCAATCAAACCTCTCCCAGCAGCTGTCGAGCGGGATTTGTGTGTTTCCTATGCAACCATGTGTGGTTGTGCCACAACAATATCTTGCCCACCTCATTTGCTCCCATTAGAAAGGCGGCACTGGCTTTTTGCTTATTTCCCTCCTGATGCCTCTGGGCACCATATTCACTATGCTCTTCACTCTTCAGCCTCTCTTTAACCACTTACTTATTCATCACAGACTCACCGAGGAAGCTTCTTAGCTCAAAGACAATACATTTTCTAAAGAGAAGTGGCCCATGCAGGCAGGCACACAGGCATACAGACGGCATAGAATGACTATGAACTGCACAGTAGGAAAAAATGTCAGTACGAATTCTGTTTTGCCGGGAGTCAAAGTACATTTTTAGCAGAAAATAATGCTAAAGCACTGCCAGTGAATTAGAGGATGAAAGAAGGAGGGAGATTCTTCCATTTTCATCAAAAGTCAAACTTTATTCAATTTCTTTTCTCTTTTATCCTTTTCATTTAACCAGGTGATTTTTAAATGTGTGATCTCAAACTCAAAGCCTTAAGGACTGGTGTTCTACACCGTTTCAATGTGTCCTTCTTCCTACAGACCTAAATTGAATGGAGCAAAGCTCTACAGAACTCTGCTAATCACCTAATATTTGAGTCAGGTGGTTGAATCAAAATCCATCTCCAAAATCCAGGACACTACCCCATGTGGACTTGAGTTTGACACAACTGGTTTAAACATTAACACAGTGGTCTCCAACCCTGGTCCTCAAGATCTACTGTCCTACAGATTTTAGATGCATCCCTGCTTCAACACAGCTGAATCAAATGAATGGCTTGAAAAGGTAATCAATCATTTGATTCAGCTGTGTTGAAGCAAGGATGCATCTAAAATCTGTAGGATAGTAGATCTTGAGGACCAGGGTTGGAGACCACTGCATTAACACCTATTAATTCTGCGAAGCTGGAAATGCAAACTAAAATCTAAAGGTTCTTTACCTTCTGAACCTTGGTTACCCATCTCTCTTTCTCCCTCATTTTTGTATATTATATATATATATACATATATATATATATATATATATGTTTGACATCATTAAAACTTACCATCTGCATCCAGCGTACGGGTAATTTCTGTCCAAACATTTTATTTTCATTGGGTGTCTTTGTTATAAGGATGGCTAGGATTATACAAAATGATTTGTTCTTGGCTTCTTCTATGTCTTGACTAAATATACTCTTTGTCATGATGGATCAAAGGAGCAAGCCCTTATGCAGAACACACATGGAGGAGGCAGGGAAAAAGTTCAAATGTTTATTAAAAGTTCTGAACATGAGAACGTAAACAAGTTCTGAGACTGGTTCACTGAAGTCTTGACTGGGACCCGAGACTGTTGGTTAGCAGAGTTCATGAGAAGCTAAGCGTCTAGCTTCAGGCTTAGCATGGCAGACCTTGATCTGAGCTTCCAGCTCACTGCAGAGAACAACAGGGAATATCCACATAGGAATTCTTCAGGCTGAGCTTCCAGCTCATTGCAGAGAACAACAGGGAATATCCACATAGGATTCTTCAGGCTGATTCCACATAGGAATCTTCAGGTAAACTCCACATAGAAGTCTTCAGGTTAAATCCACATAGGAATCTTCAGGTTGGCTCACCAGGGCAGATTAGCAGGTAGGCTCACCTAGAGCTTCGGGCTAGAGACAGGTTTCCAGTGAGACAGCTCTCCCAGAGCTTCAGGCCAGAGACATGTTTCCAGTGAGGCAGCTCATCCAGAGCTTCAGACTAGCGACAGGTTTCCTGTGAGGCACAGACAAAGGAGAGATTAGAATCTGATCTCACACTAGAGACAACTAAGATTCAATCTGTAACAGAGGTTCAGGTTGCTAACCAAACTAAGATCAACACTGCGGCGTGGAAGCAAGGTCTAGCAGGTGTTTATAAAGGGGAAGTCTCCTGATGAGAAGATGCATAACAGGTGTGCTGGAAGGTTCCAGCCCTAGGAGACCCATGGCGCACTCTGCTGGAGACAGGGGGTAATTTCCAGATCCCAACAGTAATTCCAGTCCTAAAAGACAACAACAAGAGACAGAAGAGGATCCTCGGCGCCCTCTGGTGGGCAAGCCTGAGGATCCCAACACTCTTGAACTTATGAGATCCGCTTCTGTTGTTGCGACTGGATTTGAAAAAATAGTTTGGCCTTTCAGAGTAAATATAGATTTTTATCTAGAAGTCAAGTCTGCTTCCTGCTATGCTAAATAGTTTGCATCCAATAATTCAATAAAAGTTATTTTTTAATGAAATTAATAGAATTATGTTTTTAACTGTAGTTACCGATCTGTCATTGCCCTGTTTCAAACCTGATGTTGTTATCATTCTTTTTCCTGTTTGATACCGTTACAAATGTTGAGCTTAATCTGAAAAGATTCCAACGGACTGGAAATGGACTTGCTCTCACTTACGATGGTAAAGAACGGAGAACACATACGTTGACGCTCAGTTCAGAGGATTACCAGAGAACATAAAGTGTAAAGTTGTGTAAAGTTGGTTTTACACAAAACATGGATTGAGCCTGAAAAGATGTCCACAGCCACAACTTTGACGGTTGTGCACATTAAAGGAAAGTATGTGCAAATGCCTCTGATGTGCATCCGGAGTAGCTATCCTATTTTTTCCATTTCCTTTGCTGGTCGGTTGTATACAATGGCAAACCCTTTTGCAAGAATAGGTTGTTTATTTCTTTGCTTTGATGAGTGATTGACAAAAAAGAAGGTTTTTAACATGTTTTTAATAAAGAAATTACATCTCAAAACGTGATCCGTGCAGTTAATTCATTAGTATTATGATCCTACTTGTAAATATTTTGCTGTTGTTCTGAATGGCAGAACTCAAATAGATGCAGGAGACAGCACTAGGAATCCCTGGGAAAAGATCCATTAAACTAGCTAGCCTGTCAGGGAGTTCTTCCCATTTGAGGTGACTTAAAATGAATGTACCATGTACCATATATTTTACCAAATGTTTTGGTAACATAGATTGTAATTCATTTTTCGTTTGTACTGTATTTACTGTCACTTGTTCATGAATGGAGCTGCACAATGCCACAGTGGGTAGCACTACAGCCTAGGAGCAAGAAGGTTCCAAGTTTGATTCTGCTTGGAGTTTGCATGTTCTCCCATTGCATGTGTTGGTTCTCACATGGTACTCCAGCTTCCTCCAACAGTCCATAAAGGTGAGGTTAATTGGTTTCTCTAAATTTTCCTTAGGTGGGACTGTCTGAATGGTTTTTTTGTCCTCTTTGTCTGTGTTTTGCGCTGTGATGGACTGGCGACCTGTCCAGGGTGAAACCCGCCTCTCACCATAGACAGCTGGCGATAGGCACCAGTACCCCTCGCGACAGTCGGGATGAGCGTGACAGAAAATGAATGGATGGATGGATGACATGATTGAGATAATGTAGGCAGCCAGGGTTAAATAAAAAAAAATAAATGTAACCCCAGAGATTTTTGAGCTAGGTGTTTATTTGCCTCCCAGGAGAGTTTTGACTCTTCAAGCTACCAAAAAGAATAAACTTCTTATTGTAATTAGTGTTTAAGATCTATTTTAATTGAGTTACTGAAATTACATATTTTTGACCATTTTGGTTAACAGGGTAGCCTCAGCATAGCCACTTAAAAAAAGGATATTAAGTCATTCAAAGTCCAGTGAAAGCATTAAATAGAGAGGTCGAGCTCTGCGTGAAGAAAAGTTATGGAAACCATCTTTCAGAAAGGAGACTTGTCTGTCTCTCTCTCGCTCTCTCCTGCATCCTGGAGTTCAGCTTTCAGCTCCATCCGCCCCATCAGAATGATCCAGCCAATCACTGCATATGGTGGGCGTTGCTGATCCACAGAAGGATGAACTGAGCTTGTTGAAGAGAGAGACGAGTGAAGAGAGGGCAGTTGGAGCGAGCCGCTTTTTTCAGAGCTTCTGGGAGAATCAACACAAGGCTGGACGCGTTAACAAGTGATGGCTGTGGCGCATAGAGACCTGAAATAAATCATTAAAAACACTTTATTTAGAGAGATTATGAAAATGTTGTTTAGATAGATACCTTCGCGATTCTGCTCAGACGGCAAAGTGTGCCTCATCCTCCCTAAAGAGAGTTGATTTGGTTGGGAAGGAAGTGAAGAGAAGAAAACATCCCCTGGGGATTAAGTCTAACCCTTCGATATTCAGTTTCCCAGACGACAATCAGGCTATTTTCCAATCACAACAACATTTGACTCCTGCTTTCTACATTTACGAACTGCATTAGACTGTGAGAGTACGGATTTCCCAGGACGGTATTGCTGTACTCCCAACTTCCACCGATTTTAATAGACTCACTTCAGTTTTTTATTTTTTAGCACACCGATGATGGGGACAATGTCTGGATTAATGCGACTGCTGTTCGCCCTGCCCCGGGCTGCCGGGGAAGAGTGAGGAGAGCAGGAAGAAAGTGGAAGTAGGAGAGGAGAGGCGTCGGTAGCGTCTGGCTGCCGTCCACTTGTTCGCAGGCGCATTTTCTCCTTGTGCTCTCAGCTCTCCTTTTTACTGGAGTCACGAAATAAAAAAAAGCAAGCGAGAGACGCGCAGGGAGGACTGCGTTCACACCCTGGGTGAGTATCAAACTCAATGCAAGTGGATAAATAAGAAAGAAACGGGTTGGAGGCAGCAGCGGGTGGGTTGGTGGGAAGCTGCTGTGCGTTTTTACGCGCTGCGTAAAACGGTTGGTGTGTGCTAGGGAATGCTGACTAGAGATGATCGGTGACGCATTTTCGATTAAAGAAGATGAACATCTGAGAGTTTAAACATGGGTCAATGAAATTGTGTCCCTGTTTGGCCGCTTCAGCACTGTGAGTAAAGGTCCGATGGAACTTGTTTGGCCTCAGACACCGGGACATAAATTAAATCCAGTTGGAGATTCATATACGGTTACGTTTGGATCCCTTAGGAAATAATCTTTTGTACCTTTACTGTATCGCGTTTGCTCATTTTATTCATGTTGTGTTAGGCTTTATAAACCCTTTACTACCCCATAAAATATGCTTGTTCATGTGGGGGTTTGTCGGTGCGCGCGCACGCATAAACCGCACATCCAAGTCTTCTCACTTTATGATGCCTGCAAACTGATTCTGAGCCTGACGTGTCTTTCTACCTTTGCTTTTCGTCATCTCACCGCCATGTGTGTGTGCTCCTTTCGTCCCTCTAAGCGATGAATGCCATCCTGTCTCCCTGATTTGCTCCACTGAATTATGTTTCTGCCTCTGCAAGTTGCACAGCTTCCCACTAATTCTCTAAACCACGTAAGAACAGCATTTTTACCTGTCGGGTACTTTTTTTTTTTTATCTGCTGCACTTTCCTCAAAAGAAAGTATTTGGAAAGTAGGAGACTTCTGGTTCAGATTTTGTTCAGATTACTCTTTATCACCGGTGCAAACATCTTTCCCCAACTAGGCAAGCAGTTAACTTGAGATAGTGTAAGAAGAATTTGTTATAGTTTGTGTGTAGTTTCTATCCACATCCGAAAAGATTTTATTTTTATCTGCAACTAAAAGCCATACTAAAGCAAAGGCTTAAAACAAAGATAGATGTCCAGACTATATAGATATTCATGCGATATACACTAGCTCTAAGAGGATGTAAATGAGAGGCTGAGTGCATGACACTTAGAACTCTAATGTCATATTGTCTAATGGCAGACAGACTCTGTTCTGACATCAGGACTGGATTGCAAAGATGTTTGAAAGCTCCAGGCAGTGATGGAGGCAGATGGAGTGTCCATTAGAGAAGGTACTAAAGTTGGAGTGGAGGAGTTTTACAAGCCAAACTAGGAAAACTGTATCAAGCAAATCTATTTTCAAGTGCAGGTATTTTTAAAAGCTGTGAAAATTGTTTTGTTGTTAACTCTCAGGAAACACTGCACACACATTTAGAACAGTAGAGTTTGAACACTACATTGTTAGACAAAAAAGGCATTTATACTGTGTTAACTTTTCATACACACTATAATCAGTACCTTCAATATAT